TGCCTGCGGCTGTTAACACACCGCCAAACTGGGAGTCTGGAGAAAATGGCGAGAGCTCGGCTGAAATCTTGGCTCTGTTGAAGTCCCTGGGAGTTTTGCCTTTGATTTCAATGGGGCCGGGATCTCATCCCCCCAGCTTTGGAGAAACGCAGGGATTAAAAGCCCCCGGCACTCCAGCCATCAAGGGCATGGAAATAATAATAATGCCTTTATACAGCTTCTTTCCTGGGATTCTTAAAGCACTCCACAAAGGTGGGAAAGCATCATTAGCCTCACTTCACAAATGGGGAAACTGAGGCAGAGAGCAGGGAAAGTGACTTGCCTAGTATCTGAGGGAAAATCTGGGGCAGGGCTAGGGACAGAATCCGGGTCTCTTGACTCCCAGTACCCTGCTCTAACCAGCAGGCTACACTGCTCCCTTAAATGTCTTCATGATAGATCCCCAGAAAGGACAGCAGGGGATGGACATGTCAGGGATAGGGTGCGGAGGTAGGGGTAACTTGGCATCAGAGCAGAAGCATATCCTGGCTACCTGGGTGTGCTGATGCCCAGCTCCCTGCTGCTGCCTCAGAAAGCCACTTCATTTAAAGGGAATCAAGCTCCTCAGGAAACTGACTGAAGCAGTTGAGCTAGAGAAACACCAGATTGATTTTCCCCTCTCCTCCTCCTGTTTCTCCATCCCCCGCCCAATCCTGAATCCAGGCAGGGGAGCAAACTCCTCCATCTGGCCACAGAACGCCCCTCTGGCTAATAATAGCTGCTTCATGTAGAAAATTCAATTAGGCCCAACAAAGAGACAAATGTTAGTGCTTCCTCGGCAGGCCCCATCCGGTTCTGTTCTGTTCCTCCGCAAGTGGCTAACTGCAGGGGCTATCATGAAAGAACCCTTTCAGTTCTTGTGGCATTTATAGCTAGGGCTGGCTGGAGAGGGCTTTTCAGAAAGGAAACCTGCAGTGGGTCTCTAGCCTGGTGATTGGCCATTGTGTGCATCGGATGCCACGTACGAGATGGGACACCAGCTGTTGTGGATGGCTAGGGGTTGAATACAGGCTGTGTCTAGCGCTTTTCTCCTGGCATCTCCCTGAGCTGTTGGCAGGTTCGTTAAAGATTAACACCCTGCTTTCTCCGGCAAGAAAGTCAGTGCCGGTTTCCTGGCCACGTTTGGGTAACTGTTCTGCTTTCATAAAACCACCCCCTCATTCATCCACTTCTGCTGCAGGTTCCGACTAGAGACAGCAGACTTCGCCATTTCCTGACATAGTTGCTGAGGGCTTGTTCGATTGCAGCCACGGTACACCCCAGAGGTGGCTGCAGTGTAATTTGGGGGGTCAAAGGCGCTGTGTAAGTGTGAGCTGCCATTACTCTCCTGGCTGTTCTTGGCCCTGGTACAGGCAGGTGCTTCACTCCTCCAGTCCCGATTTAAAAGTAGGTCTGTTCCAGAATGGCAGATGGTGGCGTGTAATCGAGCCTGGAGAGGAAGACTTTGGTGTTTCTAAGCGTTGATGTTCCAGTAATGACAGGGTTTTGTATTTGTTTTACTGGGGGGTGAGTTTGTTTAGGGGGAAAAAAGCAGAAGACCAAAAGAAAGAACAACAAAAGTAAAACTGAGACGTCTTTAACACAATCACCTCAATTTAGGCATCCTTAGTAGACACATCCTTAAGTGAGGGGCCTTTAATCCAGCCATCCTTAATGTGTATGTCCTTAACTGAAGCATCCTTAGCCCTTCCATTTGGAATCATCCCCCCATTTATTCAGTGGTGAAGGTGGGAGGGAATTGCTGGGGAGGTCGCGTTGGTTTCCTGGGAGGCAGGGGCACAGTGTAGCAGCTGGGGGGTGGGGGGGGTTCTTGGACCACGGAAGGAGGGAAGCTGAAGCAGCAGTAGGTAGCATGGGAGAGGTGGGCAGGCACCAAAGGATCCAGCTGAGAGGAACCCAGGGAGGATGTATGCTGGCTGCTGCTGCACCAGCTGGTTGAGGGGAGTAACTGCCATTGGATAAGTGCTTGGGGTGAGAAGGAACTTCATCAAAGCTGACTCTGCTGCGGGCATTGGGTAAGGCAGTGTGGTTGAGTTGATAGGGCACTGGACTGGGACTCAGGACACCTGGGTTCCATTTCCAGCTGGGCCACTGACCTCCAGGGTGACCTTGGGGAAGTCATGTCTCTGGGCCTCAGTTTCTTCTTCTGTAAAATGGGAAAAATGGGCTTTGTAACGTGCTTTGAGATCTGCTGATGGAAAGTGCTATTGTAAACTCTTTGGGGGCAGGGCCTGTCTTTTTGTGCTGTATTTGTATAACACTTTGCACCGTGGGGCCTTGGTCCATGACGGGGGGAGCTAGGCACTATGGTAATACAAGTAATAAGTAAAAGCTAGGTGGGGCTGCTGTTTACAGAAAGGGCAGGAAACCCTTTGGTCACTGAAGCTGTCCATGGCTCAGCACTTCAATGGCACAGTGATGTTTAAGGGGGAGGGCCCTTCTGCTTCTTTGTCATGGGTACATTAACTCCCATTGGGTCCCAAGTACCACACCAATGGTGGAGTGTTAGCCCCAGGAATTACACTGAAGCCTGTTACATGGGGCAGCCCAAGGATCCAGCCATGCTCAGTTGGCCTAGTAGATGTATGTTGTGAACTGGGAGACAGTTGGATCTCTGAAGAGAGGGGTTGGGGGGGGGGGGGGTCCTTGGGGCAGATTTCATTGTTGGCTGCAGGAGGCAGGTATGTGGGGCTGGCTGCAAAGCAGGGTGCTGGAACACTTTTTAGAGTGGGGGTGCCGCACCCCACCCTTAGCCTTGTCTGTGCCCCCCCCCCACCGCACCTAGAGCTGGGCCAAGAGCAGGGCCATGGCTCTGGGAGGGGGGGATGTGGACAGGAGTAAGGGGGCCACGGCTGGGGCCATAGGCAGAGCCCTGGGCACGGGGCTGGCAGCTGGGAGCCCGCATGCAGGGCTGGGAGAGAGCCCCCAGTTTCAGGGCCAGCAGCCAGAGCCCCGCATAAAACCTGGGGGTGCTGCAGCCCCCTCCCCCCCCGCACCCCTGGTCCCTGCACCTGTGCTGCAAAGGGGGGCAGATGCAAAGCATTTAGACCAGACACAAGGGACAGGATTTTCAAAAATGCCTAAGGCCATGTTGGCACCCCCCGTGGCACTGCTCCGGGGAAGAGTGGACGCTCCTCCATCAACAGGAGGGTTTTTTCCGCTGATGCAGTTACCCACCTCGCCGAGAGATGGGAGCTGGGTCACTGGAAGATTTCTTCCATTGGCCTCGCTGCGTCTGTGCCGGGGCTCAGGTTGGCGTCGCTCCCTCAGGCAGGGCGTGAAGTTGTTCACGGCCCTGAGCGATGAAGCTAGGTTGACCTAATTTTTCAGTATAGACCAGGCCTAAGGGAGTCAGGCACCCAACTTCCATTGCCTTCCCAGGGGAGTTAGGGGCCTAACTGGCAGAGGTGCTTTTGTACCCCCCGCCCAGCAGCCTGGCCCTGGCAGACTGACGGGTGAGTTGCTGTCCTTACCCACCAAGCCTGGATGCATGGCGTGAGCGGCTAGAAGGACACCGGAGAGCAGCGGGGGGGGGGGGGGGTGCTTTCAGGCGTTGGGGCGAGCTCAGAAAATCCACATCGTGGACCTGTTGTGGTACCACAGAGCCATCTGCTGGGCACAGGAGATGCCAGCCAGCCACCGTTATGGAAGGTGGGCCCCCTTCCGCTAATCCTTGTCCCTCAGAGCTGGAAAGCCTGGGCCTTTGTTTGAGCTCTTACACCAGGTGTAAATCAGGAGTGGCTCCTCTGTCTTCAGTGGAGTGACACAGGCGTCAAGCTGGTGAGAGGGGGAAATCCAGCTCCCTGTCTAAAGGCGGCAGGGGGCTCTGGAGTGCAGGCATAAAGAATAGGCAGGACCCCACTGGGACCAGAGTCACCCCCACCCTTGGATACAGGCCCAGGGCAGGCATGGTGGTAGCACGAGAATCCCCCCAGAGTACGGGTCAGGGGCGTTTCCGGGAACTCCCTCTGGAAATGGGCGGGAGTCATCCCCAGCCAGGCTCTCTAAGCACAGGGCCACTCCTCCTTTGCCCAAGGATCCTGTTTACCCTGTTGTTCCCCACAGGGCCAGGCTGAGCTACTGGGCCTCCCTCAACCTCCCCGAGGGCTCCTGCTGGCCCATCCACAGGGACTCTTGGACCTCAGGACTTCCCTTCTGTAGACATGCACCGTCAGCCAGTGGAGCGATGGGGACACCCAGTGCCTGAGGAGGTGAATGTCAAGCCTGCCCGTGTTACATGGGGTGGGACCACAGGAACCAGCTCAGGTGCAAGGGATTGTATCGTGGCTGGTTGCACGGATCCCTCTGCTGCCTGTATCAATTCCCTAGGGATATTCCAGGCTCTTGTCTCTTCCAGGGGGGCTGGCAGCTGATAACTGGGCTGGATATTGACTAGCACCATGCTGAGCAGCTGAGAGAGCCCCTGTGTGCAGTAGGGCCGGGTACAGAGACCTACCCAGCAAGCAGGGAGTTAACACCAGGCTTCAGTCCCCCAACTAGGGCAAAGCTGTGAACCAAGGGAGGGGAGTCGGGGCCCAGCCAGGGAGGCAGGTGGCAAGAGGTCTCAGACTCTGAGCAGGCAGAGCCTCGTCTCCCATTCGGCAGGGGCCAGCTCACAGCCCGAGGTGAGCCCTTTGTACGAACTGTGTCTTGGCTCCTAGAGCCCAAGGGAGGGGAGGGGACGGGACGTGCTGAGTGAAAAGCTCTTGCTGGCCCCAGACCGGCAGCTGTGCTGTCCCAGCCCCCCGGCCCCTTCGCCCAAGCATAGCCTGCTCCTTAAGGGGATGGGTATAGCTGGGATGTTGGCATGGGCCCTCCCTGTGGGGGATCCAGCATTGAGGCAGGCATCCTGGCCCCGCACCCTTTGGCTGGAAGCAGCTGCCATAGCCCAGCCCCACCCATGTATCACAGGAGGAAAGCATGCTGAGCCCAGAGACACAGACACACCCTCCAGGCAGGGCTCATACACACAGTGCTTTTATTTGTGGTCTTCAGCCAGAGAGACCATCCGGCTTGGGACAGGGGCCTAGGATGCAAGAGGGGCCCACGTGTCCAGATGCAGCAACTTGCAGAGAGCCTGACAGAAGGCTGGACACACGAGGTGGCGGCTCAGAAGCGCTTGCCCAGGGCCTCCTTTGTAATGAAAGAGGGGCCGGGGCTCAAGCAATTGTTTTACTTCCATAACTGACATGGCAAGGCCAGCGGTGCTGGGGCTCTGAACTCCCTCTTTGAGCTGCCCCAGCGTCTCTGGGCTCTGAACTGCCAAGCCCAGAGGTGCCGCCCTGTCCCAGATCAAGCACTGCTCTTGCCTTTTGCAAAAGAAACACGAGCGTGTTGCATTGGCTAATGGCACAGTTTGGTGCTAGGGGTTATGGGTGCACTGTCCTGACAGCAGAGGCAAAGAGGACACACTTTCTCTCCAGCCACCCACTCAGCCTGCTTAAGGGAAGGGGCCGCCTAGGCTCTTCCACTAGGATTGGTTGCTGGGTGGTGGGGGGCTAGTCTCGGCTCAGCTAAGTTTAGGACTTTCTGTTCGGTGTTGTGGGCGTGGCCCAAGGCCGTGGCCCAAGGCCGTGTCAAGAGGCAGGAAGGGGGAGGATGCACGTACGTGTTTCCTGGCACATAGGCGTGTGCCTTCGAGGTGCATCTGTGTTTTCAGAGGCCCCATGGAAACAGCCAGGTCTCATCCTTGGGTAGATGACGGTTAGCAGCAGCTTCTCTGGGCTCCAAAAGCCTGATTAGCATGGGACTCGCTGCAGGCCCTGGGCAGTGCTCAGAGGCTGCAGTGGGTTCTTAGGCTCTGGAGCATGTGACTTTCTGCATTGCCCGGCCTTCCCTTCCACCTGTTATCTCTAGCATGCGACGTCAGAGCCTGGGCTACATCCCACAGATACCATCCCCAGGAGCTTCAAGCCCAAGAAATTCCAGAGGCGTCAGAGGGGGGAGTCCAGGAGAACGTCCCCCAGAGGAAGAGAGTGAGGGCACTTGGGGGGGGGGCACAGGGGCTAACATGAAAAGGGGAGTGAGCAGAGGGGAGAGATGAGGAGGATGGAGAAGAGCAGGGGGAGATGGAGGTGGGGCAGAGCGGGGTACATGGGTGAAGCTGATTTGCAGAGGATGTGAACCTGTTACCGCCCTTCCCACCCAGGAGCCTTGGGGCTGTAGCTCAAGTGATAGCCGGTCACACCTTGAGCTCTGGTGGTCCCTGGTTCAATCCCTGGTGTGTCAGCTGAGATAGCGGCTCTCATGTATGCCCTTCCCTGGTACGTGGGGTGCAGCACGCAGAGGAGGCTGGGAGAGAGAGCCAAGGTTCCCAAGGGATGAGGCAGAAGATGTTCTTGAAAGGAGGGTTCCTCTAAGAACCTCCCTCTGTCCTGCCTACAAAAAGCAAGAGCCTGAGGTCAGGATTTAGCCCAGTCTAGAGGCCCCTTGGGGAAGCTGGATCTTGTTCCATTCACACTTACTCTCTCTTTCTCTCTCCCATCTGGATTATTTCCAGCTGATCTGCCTGGGCTCAGGTCCTGGTCTCTTTCCAGACTTTGGCTTATGCTAGCTAAGCTGCTTCATTTTTAACAAACTAGACATGGCTCCAGGGCAGTCTCCACCTTCATCTCTATGTTCCCTTCCTGAGCCCAGCCTAAGACAAAAGGCACCCTCCTCTCTCTGCTGCTTTGCGTTATTAATAATAATAAAGAAACCAGCCACCCAGCAATGCAAACTTTAACGAGCTCTCTCTCCCAGGAGGTAGGCAACTGTTGTTGTTATAGATGGGGAGAGAAGCTAAGTGACTTGCCCCAGGCCACAGAGGGGCTCAGTGGCAGAACTGGGACTCAGGGCTTCCTGGTCCTGTGTTGAGACCATAGGGCCATGCCTCTCTCTTGAAGCGTCTAAAAGATGAAGCCTGCATCCCTCTCAAAATGGACTGTATCTGATGCTGGTAAGTGGCACCGTGAGAGTCACTGTTCAGCGCAGCTGCTGGGGAGGGAGGTTTAGGGTCTGAGGTGACGTCAGCCCAAAGGAGAGGGAGGGTCCTGGGATTATTTATAGCCAGCTCGCTCGTTCCCCCTACTCCAGCCTTGGCACCACTACAAAGCGACGCTGGGGGTGGCTGAAAGGGCGTCGGGCGAGTGGGGCAGGGGAGAGCAGTGAGGTTTTTTTAAAGCTTTCTAAGGGTTGGTGCATTAATGGACCCCAAACCAGCTACTCCCAGACTCTGCATAACTCAGTGAGGAAAGATGGGACACACACACACACATGTAGTTATATACTCTCAGCCTGGCGCTCCCGCCTCGTCTCTGGAAGCAGCGTCATGCAGAAACCATCCAAAGCCCATGGAGGACCCAAAGGGTCAGCTGTGGTGAACGGGACCCGGTCTAGCTTGAGGGGCCATGGCCCGGCTAGGGCTCCACCATCACGCTGCTGTTGGTCACGCGGACCCCGTACCATCCTTTCCAGAAGAGTGTGTCCTGGCCTCCGTGTTCAAAGCGCACAAAGCGAGCCCCGGGCCCATAGTTGGAGAAGGTGTGGGAGAGCTGAGGGGGCAGAGCGAGACACAATGGCTTCCTGGAAGTCACAAACCACCCCTGAATCTCCCCTTGTGGAGTGAGGCTTTGAACCCCGCCCTGTGGGGATGGGGTCACTAGTTGCTATAGGGAGATGGACTATCTGAGGGTCTTCGGGCCCCACTGCTACGCTGGAGCCATCAGCAGCTTTCCCCTTCCGGGCTACTTCCCTCTCCCCCACCCACTCAGGTGGGTGGGTTGGCAGGTCACTGAGCTGCATGGAACCCAGCCTCATGGTCACAGCTGCACAAGAGGAGGGAGACCCCCCACACACACCCAGCCTTCACCCCATCCTGCTCCTTTCATAGCTGAGCTCACCAAGGGAAGCCCCTTCCCATCCGGCTTTGCTTGTGGCCCCGGGCATGCACTGCCCTGTCCCGTTGCCCTGGCTCTGCCCAGCCGCTCGCCGGGACTCACCTCGGTCCAGTTGGCAGCGTTGTCCTGCGGAATGGCGACCGTGTCACTCTGGTACTCGGCCAGGACGTCCTCGTGCTCTGACAGCAGCTTCACGTGCAGCTGGTAGAGGCAGCCGGCGTCGCTGCGACCCGCGTACCTGCAAAGAGACCCGAGCTGCCAGCCTCACCCCTCGCGGCCGCTCCGCAAACAGGCCCGGTGCTGAGTAGCGCGGCTGGGCCCGGGCTGGGCACCGTTCTACGGCAAGCACAGACAGGGGCAAGCCATGTCCAGAAAGCAAAGCCCCAACTGCCTGGATTACTGTGAGCTTGTTCCAGGCTCCCACCGCTGCTCGCTGTGGGGGAGCACTGGTGTAGACACGGGGCTGGTGTTCTCCTCGGTGTGTCTGCAAGAGGCACGGAGCACTAACCTGCCACCTCTGCTACCACTGATGGATCCATACCCATGTAAGCTATGGTGGAAAATAGGGGTCAAAGAAGCCCAGTGTAGACACAGCTCTGGCCTCTCCTCATCTCCCTCTCTCTGCTTCCCTTGGCCTTTCCCCTCTCTCCCTGCCAGCCCAGCACAACCGCAACCCCCCTACTTACCAGTCCTTTACCACAATTTTAGGCTGGGTTGTGTCCATCAGCTCCTCCCAGTAACCCTCAGCCCTGAGGTCGATGACCTGAGACTTGCGGCACCACCTGGAAGACAAGAGGTTACCGGGTGAGCGCAGCCCTGTTTCCTCATATGCCAGCGTCGGGTAGAACCCAGCCAGAGAAGGGGGCAGCCTTACTCGTAGGAGGTGACGAAGTATTTGTGGACTCCATCACTGGGAAATTCTTTTCCAAAGTCTCCCGGCAGGTCCTCAATTTTCCAGCCATCACCTCCGTTCTCCACTTCCCCCCAGTGCTCTAAATTCTCTGCAGGTAGCAGAACAAGAGAGAGGCTCTGGGTTACAGTCACGTGGCTTCAAAAATCTTTCACCTTCCTACGTGGAGATTTCTTTAACAGATCCAGGCAAGGAGTTTGACTTGTGTTGTGCTTTACTCCACAAGCGAGCCCATTGACTATCTGCAGTGCAAGGTACTGTTTGGTAGGACGGTTGTAATCTGGCCCTCGATTCTCTGCACCACTGCTCTGATCATTGCCTTAGCAGCCTCCCTTCACTAGAGAGCCCTGCCCAGCATTTCAGGCTGGTCTAGGTACATATTACAACGGTTAAACTACAGGTGTGGCGTTAAATTGCTGTGACTTTGTGTGTGGGCCAGGCCTTAGAGAGATGCTTGTGGGGTCAGATTTAGACCAAAAATGCCAGGTTGGTAAAAAAAAACAAAACAAGTTTTTACAAACCCCAACATTGATCGTAATGGTTCCGTGATCATTTAAACAAGTCCAATGAAAACTCTGTTTATTGTATTTCAACATTCCCAGGGCTGCCACAGTGGATTAGTGCAGGAGAGGACTGATCCATTTCCTTCTCCAAGCTGAAATCAAATGCACACAGCTAACACTTGGCATCAGTAGGGACAAGCTCATTAAAATTTTTAAAGCTTTCTTAAAGCGTTCATAAGAGAGAGAGGTTTTCTTTGTAAAGTTGGAGCCAGGATTCCTTGCTTAGCCTTGTTTAAACCCTCCTCTAACGTGGTCAGAACAGACCAAAAGATCCACCACCACCACCACCACCCCCCTTTTGGCTTGAGCATTTTCAGAATTATATTGGAAAGTTGGGAGCAGATCTGCTCAACTGTTGGTGAGTGATACAGCCAGAAGCAGCGTGATCCAGTGGTCTGTAGGCAGAGCAGGAACCAGGGGTTCTTGAGCTCTAAACTCTGCCACAAACTCACCGTGTAGCCTTGGGTACGTCATTTAAAAGCAGATTTTTCAAACAAGCACTGCCCATGTTCTCCTTCGAAAATTCCCCTTGTTGTTTTTGTTTTGAGACCCCAATAGTAACCAAACCCTATGCAGAATCCTGGCCCAATGGAGACCCTTTGAAACCAACCCTGTAAGTGAATTGCCACTGAATCCGAAGCAGAACCAAAAGGCACCCAGGTCTCAGACCCTGCAGTCCTGTGCCTTGACCAGCACCTCGTCCTTCCTCCTCTTTGTAAGCTGGAGTGGAAGCTCCCAGGTTGTCGGGGAGGGTGGCTTACAGGACTTGGGAAGGGTAAAGCACCACAGATGGCGGTGATGTTGTTATGCTGCAGTGGCCGCTAACCACGTGGACCTGAGCACGTGCCCCCTCCTGGAAATCCCAGCAGGTGCTTGTGTAAAGAGGATCCAGCACCTGGCCACCATCCCTGTTAATGGAACCCCCAGGCCAGCTGCTGTTGATTTAGTCTCACATGCAGTGAGACAGGTGCTGCATCTCACCCCAACCCAGGGCCTCTTAAAGTGACCAGAGCTGCACAATGCTCAGGAACCAGCCCAGTCCTCCCCTCGCCGGGCGAGGGTGTTACAAAGTTCAGTCACTCGCCTTCGCCGCAGGGGTTCTTGATTAAATTCCTCTTCCTCTTACTCAGGAAGTAGAATGTTTGCCAGTTCTCGGCCTCCTCTTTAGGCTCTGCCCCGGTGAAGCCCTCCTGCTGGCACTTCAGGGTCCAGAGAGCTGCTCCGTCCACGAGGTTCTTCCACTGGCAGCAGACCAGGCGGCATGCCAGCACCAGCTCCACCGCGGGGATGGAGGCCAGGATCTGGATCAGGACGGCTTCGGGGAGGGAGTCCATCCTCCGGCCAGGCTGGGCGGAGCTCTCTGAAAACAAGGGGAGAGGAGTTATACCCCTTGAGCAGGTAATTGGTCCATTGGGGCTGGTATCCCACCTTTGGCATTAGCCAATGCCTGCAGCCTGAGAAGAAGGGGGAAAAGACAACCCAGCCCATCTTGCAGCAGTGTCATCACGCACTAGTGTCCAAGGGGGAACGAATTCCTCCTGACCCCTGAGCACCTTGTACCTTGAAACATGAGACTAGGTTATTCCTATATTAAGTTCTTACAGAACTGCAAGAACTTTCTTATTGAAGCCTCTGACTTCTGGCAACAGTGAAGTAACAGAAAATTAAAATGTAACAGCCCACGGGTGAAGCCTGTGAGTGCTTGAGGTTGGGCATTTTCACTAGCCAGTCTGTGCCTCGGGAGTGCAATCCTTCCAGAAATTTGCTTATGCAGGAACCTGGCTGTTTGTAGCAAGAGCTGCAAGACACCTGGCCTTGCTAATGGATTCACTTCCAGATGAAAAGCTGCAGGCATCCGGGTGTTGGGTTTCCCTTCATAAGATGACTAATGTCTTGGTGTATGCCATGTAATGGTGCCAAGATACCATGGTGATGGACGCCCTGTAAATCCTTGACAATGCGTCAGATTTAGTTGGGTGCGTTCGAAATTTGCAAGCCCTTCATATCACAGTGGCCCCTTTGCTCTCATGTGACAGGACAGGACAGAGTGATGCACTTTGTGTAATGTCACATATCTCAGTCGAGTCCCCTCTGACTCTCCAGTCCTCCCTCCAAAGCCTAGGAATCCTAACAACAGGGTCAGAAGTGTCCCTTAGCACTCGCCCTGCTTCAGTGTGTGGACTCGGAAACCTTCCTTGTCACTGAGCCGAGCCCACCCCTGCAGGCCCAGCCTTTGGAGCCAACTGCGACGGAGTAACCAGAGATGAGTGTGCGGGTTCCAGACCACATCATTCATATGGGATGCACCATGACGGTGCTTTTATCCCATCTGACTCCTGCTGTTGAGAAGCAGCTGAGGCTGCAGCAAGGTGCAGTCTGGAGAGGATCTGACCAGATTGGCCAGGAGCAAATCATCGCTTTCTTCTAGCGCTAGGCTCTATTCTGTCCATCTTCTGAGTGCTGCTGGGAGCGAATGGAACCAAGCGGGCAAACCTGGCATGCCATTTGGAGAAACCTTGGCAGCAATATACAGCCAGGCCACCCCCACGAAGTGCTGTCACTTGAGTAAGGCAGGGCAGGATGCAGAGGCCATTGCTGTTGGTATTCTGAACCCAAAAGCTCAGAGCTCCAGGTGTCTCCCGTCTGCCCTGCACTGGCATCAGATGGCAAAATTCCACAGCTACGAGGGGCTGTATCAGCACCCTGCCACCCAGCCAAGTTACAAGCTCAGCGTTTAACATGAAGGAAATTCCTGAAGGGCAGAACAAGCCAGACTCGGATCACGCAGGCTGCAGTCCCTGCTGACTTCATCATCTGCAGCAGCTTTGCTGCACCCTCCCTGACAAGCTCACTGCGTCTCTGGACTAGCCAGACTCATCGGTTCTCCTTCAATTTCACCGCCTTGCCCGAGTCTCGGCCCCCGCCCTGCTTTCATGTCCTCCCCTGTCCCCTTCCCAAGAGTCTCCCCTTCACTTAACCTGAGCCCATAATGAACTGAACAACTTCCGATTCCAGTTCTTTCCCTATTGGGGGGCATACCCTGGTCTCCTCTGCCAGGTGCCCTGCCCTTCCCAAACCTTTCCTGTGCCTTGTTCCCCTATCTGCACAAGCCTTAAAGCTGCACTCTCTGCCTTGCAAAGAGAGCAGGAGCGCTGCAGGGTTAAAGCACCTGTCCTAACAATGCCCGTAACACAGCAAGGGTGCTGCAGCCTCTCCAGCAGCATCGCAGCCCTGCAGGGAGAGAGGAACAGGAGATGCTGAGACGCTCCTACCTCACTTGCTGCTCCTGAGACGGCTGCACCGTTCTGGATTGGTCTGTCGCAGGCAAGTAACTAATGCTGGCTCCGCTCTGCTAGAGCATGGAGCTGGCAGAAGGGGTTCCTCTCTTAAAGGGGCAGCGCATCATCCGCTGCAATCCAGGAGGCTCTCGGGTATTGGCTCTTGGGATATTGCTGACCTGGCTAGAGTGTTACCTAGGGGTGTGTGCGTGAGTCTGGGAGACAGGGACTCCTGATTTCTAATTCAGGCTCTGTGTGAGCTTGGGCAAGTCACTCTGCCTCCTGACCAGTCAAAGGGGGACGGGGTGTTTACACCTACCTCCCGGGGTGTTGGGAGGATGAACGTGCCCTTTGCCACCCTGTATTGCCCCAGCATTAGGTGTTTCATACAAGAGCCCAGGGCAAGGGGAGACCAAACTGCACGTTAATGTGAGGGGCCAAATAGGGCCTGCTGTACAGGGCTAACTCCAGCTGTACCCCGGATCTATCCCTGATGCTCTGCGCTGCAGCATTGGAGGTGCTTGCCCACTTTGAGCACTGGCTGGGGGGCACCCGGTGGCTGTGAGATGCAGGTTCTCATGTACCACACTGCTGAGGGTGGTATAAACAGCTAGATAGATTAGATAGAAGGAGGCTCCCGTAGGGTCTGGCTCTCTAGGGGCAAAGAGAAATCCCAGCTGGGATGTAGGCCAATGCCACCTTCCATACCCAGCTACTAGGGAATGGGAGAGGCTAAGACCCGGCAGCTCATCCTCACAGACTCTGTTTTGTGTTAACAATGAACCACATGAGTAAATTCAATCTCTAAGTGCAACTGACATTCCCTTCTCGAATCTGCCCCCTGTCTTACTGTCGTCTTCTACATCCGTCTGGGGGCTCTCCTCATCCCCTTTGGAGATTTGCATAACCATGCCTCAACTCCTGTTTCCGCCTCCTCCCACCGTCTCACGCTCCTCTCTCCTCCCCAGCGGCAGGCAAGCAGCCGTATTCTCCAAAGCGGCCGTGAACTTGTGGGCACCTCCACTTTTTGGGTGCCCAACTTGAGACCCCTTGGGCCTCCTTTTCAGAAAGGTCAAATGCCTGCAGCTGTGATTGCAGGAGACCTACTCACATGCATCGAATTACTAGTGTGCATAAGTGCTTTCAGGAGCTGAGCCTGCACTAGTTGCCTGGTCCAAGTCGAGTGACGGGGGGGAAAGAGAATGGGCCCCGTAACTCTTGTCGTTCTGCATGCAGGGCTCAGGAATGTGCTCAGTGCTTTGCCCAGTAAAGCCAGCGCCAAGTGACGGTGATTAGCCACAGGGCCACAGGAAGGTCAGCGTTTACAGTAAGAGCATGATGTGGAGATTCAGTTTTGTTAAGAGCAAATCTTTACAGCTCCTAGGCCCTTAGCATTTTGATTGGTTTTGGTATCGATGGTGAAAAGTAAACTGGGTTTGTAAAATGATTTCACTCCTAATCATCCAAGTGTGATTAGCAGCTACGGGGGTGGAGAGGGGTTTGTTTATAACTTTTTTTTTTTTTTTTTTTTTTTGGTCCTAGACATCCCCTTACTCTCATTTATCTAAATCATGTTTCTTGTTCTTTAGTTGAGTGAATGCCCACTCTGTGCTAGACGCTTTCCAAACACTTCTGCTCCAAGGAGCTCTCAGTCCATGGCAGAGGGTTGGGCAAGAACAATAATTACTTGCGTACATAACTCACAAAAATGGTTCCCTCTGTCTGAAGGTTTTTTTTTCTTTTTTAATAATGAAACTTTTCCCTTCATTTTGGTTTTATTCTTCTGCCTCTTGTAACTTTAATTCCTCCCTGTTAAAGTACATTTTTCCTTGAGATGAAGCAGATTCCTATAACAGAATAGCCAGATCCAAGTGATAACAGACGCTGTGGGTACTATGCAGGGTGTCCCCCCCCCCCCCCGCTGTCCACCGAGCTCGGCCCAAGTCTACGCGAGCAGTGATTTGCAGCGTGGTACGGCGATACTGGCCAAGCACGCCTCTATCAGCGTCCCTGCACTTCTGTCTGCACAGCCGCCTCTAGTGTCCGGCCTGTCTGCCAGCAAGTGTAGACGCAGGTATACAGGCTCACTTTTGCTGGTACAGGTTAGGGGGCCTGCAGTCACCTCCCACCCCGACCTGCAGGCCCCCTAACCTGTATCAACAAAAGTGAGCCTGTATACCTGCGTCTACACTCGCTGGCAGACAGGCCCCACACTAGTCACGCCTCATGGTACCCCATTCGACCTAGCCAAGCTGCCAGGAGTTCCTAGCGTAGCTGCGCCCTGGGTGCTGGTACCCTGTGCTTGTCCCTGTAGTACCCAGCCCGTCTCCCTTTCTCACTCTTCAGTTTTATGGTTTAGGGGGGCTGGTGTAGCGCCCAGGAACCCCAGTCGTGGCCCACGACCCCGGTGCGCTCGGTGCTGTACAAAGACCAGCCCCTGCCCTGAAGAGGTGACTGTGAGGAGAAAGGAGAGACCAGGGCTGGCTGACCGCCAGAGGGAGCTCAGGGCCGGCGTGACGATCGCGGCACACCGGCAGTTTTACCTTCCTTCTCCTCGGGCGGCCGCGGCAGCTGGCCCCGGCTCCTGGACGCCGGGATCTGGCGGGCGGTGAGCTGGCGCGGGGCAGGAGGGAAGCGGGGCTCCGGGGGCGCCCCGCGGGGGTGGGAGCCGGGGATCGGGGCGGGCGCTCCGCCGGGGTGGAGGGAGGTCTGGGCCCCGCGAAGGGAGGGGTCGGTTCGCACTTCCTGGCCCTAACCCGGGGGAGGAGACGCAGGCGGCGGCCCGGAGCTCGGCTGCAAGCGGCTGGGGCAGCCTGGCCCGGCCGGGCGGAGACAGGGTTTCTCCGCCCGGCAGCTGGGCAGGAGCCGGGGGCGAGGGGGCCCCGCTGCTGCCCGTGTATGGGGCTGGGGGCCGGGATCCCTTGCGGGGGTGAGTCGGGCTCCGGGGGCGGGGAGGGCGCTTTGCATGGCCGAAGGGAGCCCGTGGCACCCCCCGGGGGGTGCTGGGCACCCTGACACATTTCCCAGGCGCCAACTAATGGTACCAGCTTGGAAATGCAAAAAAAAAAAAACCCAAAAAAAACCAACAGATCCCCCCCCCCCCTTCCCGCAAGGCACGCCTGCCACAGCCCCAACCACAAGGCAACTTCGCCTCCCCCCCACCCCCACCTTTGAATGGAGTTTGGCTTTAGCACATGGCTCAAAGTCCAATGTAGCGGTGGCCTAAGGGCCAGATGTTCAGAAATATGGAAGAGCCTAAAGACATAGATGCCGTGGGGGGGGTTTCAGAATCACCTATGCAGGTTAGATGCCTGACTCCTGTAGGGGCTCACGCATCCAGCTAAGCCCCATCTGCATTTAGACACCTAAATATCTGGCCTTAAGAGCCTTGCATAAATGGGACCACAGTTCACCCTTGGTGAGAGATATTGGTGGCTATCAGGTTCCATTTTTGCCAGTGTAGCCACAGCCTCAGTGCAGCACTCTGGGATGTCTGCCTAGTGCAGTGCTTTATAAATCTGACTTCCATGTCCTAACTCCCTTTCCTTCTCCTGCCTTTCCCCTCTCTCACCACAATTCAATGGGAGACCTGCTCTGCTTATTGTGTTCACACCCTTTCTGGGCGGAACGTGCCTGGTGACTCTCTCCCTGGCCTGCATTACAGGCTGCTGGGGCCCAAAGAAAGATGGCAAACATCGGTGACCTGCCCGAAGATGTCCTGGTGGAACTCTTTTCCCTGGTCCCCGCCCGGGAGCTGATCTGTAACTGCCGGCTTGTCTGTGTCCTGTGGCGGGATGTGATCAACTTAGCCACTGTGTGGAAACGCAAGTGCCAGCGGGAGGGTTTTAATCATGAAAAGTGGGACAAGACTATCCAGGACTGGAAGATCTTCTACTTCCTCTGCAGCCTGAAGAAAAACTTACTCAAAAATCCCTGTGCTGAAGGTTTGTTCCTTTTTATGGGAAAGTGGGGGTGGGAGGGGAATTCCCCAGCAGCTAGGAGGCTGGTCAGTTCATAGCCTTGCCCAAGGCCTAATCTTTCGGGCCTCGCCTGTGCTGTGGATTTGCCCTGGCTACAGCCATCTGTGTAACCACTAGCGTAGGCTGGTAAAGCTGCACCTGTAACCAGGACAAATCTCCAGCATAGGCAGGGCCTCGACAGCATGCAAGTGGGATGCCAGTTTAAATGACACGGTGATAAAATCATTGGCTGCTGCACCCTTGGTCCTTCCACTCCCCCCAACCTGCGTTGGCCCCAGTGCAGCTGAGCAGTGGGGAATTGATCCTTAGGTCGCTCTAGGATAGGCGAAGGGGTTTGGGCAGGCTCGCGCTCCTGTGGAAGTGCGTAGCGGGAGCCTTTGGTACGAGGCTGATGTAAAGGGGCGGCAGCACGTCGGTTTGCTGGGGGGCCTGGTCTGTGCTCCAGCACTTGGCTGTGAATGAATGCTGCTGTTTAGAGGGAGTGCTGGCTGATGGCCAGGCTCGCCCATGGAAGAAATGGGTAGATTAGGCTGGAGGAGACTCTGCAGCAGAGAAACTAAATACACCTTGAAATCACTGGGAACGGATTCCCAGTCTGCTGCGATATCCCGGGGACAAAGCTGCCACCTCCCACCCCGCCACTCGCTTTTTAAAGTGAAAACTAGATGCTTGCGGAAAATTGAGGTGGGGGCTGAAAACTTCACGTTCTCTGACCCTTCTGCTCTCCCTTTTGGGGATTGGCCTCACTGTCCCCTTTCTGATCCCTTCCTAGAGAGCTTTGAGTTCTGGAATCTGAAACCGAACGAGGGAGATAAATGGAAAGTTGAGGACCTGCCTGGGCATCACGGAAGAGACTTTCCCAGCCCACAAGTGCGCAAATATTTTGTCACTTCTTATGGGTAAGAATCAGATTCTCGTGCTCTGAAACTGGGCCTGGAGGGAAGAGGGCACCCTGGCTGTTTGTTTGAGAATGGGTGGAAGCGGGTGGAGCTGGGCCCAGGAATAGAAAGAGGAAGAAGTAACTAGTTACCTTGTGGAGATACAGGGGGAGCATCCTCTCTGCCCTCTTATGAGGCATACTGCCACCCAGGCAGTGTCTCAGGGGCACCCAATGGCTATAAAACCAGTAGAGGTTTTTTGGTGGAGACGGGAAGCTCCTCACAGATCAGATTTTTGTTTCTCTTCTGATAGAAGCATTGGCCAAACAGCTTGTGTAAAGGTTTGGGAAATGGGTTATAACCTAGACAGAAGCTTTCCTCGCAGTCCTTTGCCGGTAAAATGGAACGGAGTTTGTTCCAAACCTGTGGGACAGTCGGATTCGGACTCTGTGTGTGTGTCTGGGTCCAGCGACCCCCAATGAAAGCAGTTGAGTAGGGGTCAAAAGTGAGGATTAGCTGCTGTTGAGTGGGCAGGATGTCTGCTGCAGCATCCCTGACACCATGTGCTGTCTGGGCTAGCAGCATGTACCGCATGGTACCTGGGTGTTACTAATCTGGGGATGAGCCCTGGGCTTTAACTAAAGAGAACCACTAAACTCCAGTGGAGAGATGAAGAAGTAGGCTCAAATACAAGTTGCATGTGATGCTAAAAACTTACATATCTGTTCCCAGGAAGTGTCTAAAGTCTCAGCTCATTAACCTAAAGAAAGAGGGTTACTGGGATCAGCTGATGGATGAAATACGGCCTGATATTATGGTCAAGGACTGGTGAGTGCATACATAAGAACTAGGCTCTCTGCATATGCCAGGACGACTCTGGATTTCAGCTGGGATGACATCAGTGGAGTTCTTTGACTCTACCTCCAGGGACTGTAAAGATTTAATAAAGAACAAGTCAGACTTGGGTTCTGTTCCTGAGTCTGGAAGGGGTCATGATCTAGTGTTGAAAGTCACAGAGCCAGGACTCCAGAATTCTGTCACTGGCTCACATGGTGTCCGTGCCTCAGTTTCCCCTCCAGGGCATGATGATACTCCCCGGTCTGTACAGCTCTTTGAGGTACTCTGAAGAAAAATGCTAGGTAATAGTAATACCACCTTTGGGTTACGACAGAACTGGCGATGCCATTACAGATATGGGGCGCACGCTGGCTTTCCCATCTCACTGGTAGGCTTCAGCTCCATTTCCGAGTCCCTGTATAAAATGACTAACCCTTGCCATGCCAAGAGCAGGGATGGCTTGTCTCTGGCAATGGGCATCCCCAGAAGGGTGACTGTCCCGGCAGGTGTGTGTATCTTCCCAGTGCCTGACCTCTCTCTGTCTCTCCAGGTATGCTGCCAGGTTTGACTGTGGGTGCTGTTATGAACTCTCTGTGCAGCTGCTCTCTGCAGACTACATCGTCCTTCACGAGTTCCGACCCGAACCAGTGGTCATAGAGCAATGGAGTGATGCTGAGTGGAGAGAGGTGAGGAATCCAGGGAGTAGCTGTGTGGGCAGCAGCTTTAAATCAGTGCCGTGTTTCTAACATGTGACTCTAATCTGAACAGTGGCGGGATAACAATGGGTCCTCCTTCCCCAGCACATCTGCTCTCTGTGGGCATCCAGCCCTAAAGTGATTCCGTAGTGGCCCTGCAGAAGCCACACAGCTGTGTGAGAGTGAGCTAGGTTCAGTAGGGATTGCAGATGCTCAGCGCTTCCTGCATCTATTTCAACATGGAGGGGTGAAATAAATGCCTAGCGAATAGAGAACATGACCAGTCAGGTCCCTAATGCTTTGTGTGGACATTCTTCTGATTGAGAATGGAGCAAAACTACTTCTTGAACCTCGACCAACTTTATCATGAGGTTTCGAGGGCCTTGTCTAAACAAGAAGGTTGCCCCAGTTTAATTTTGAATTGGCTCTTAAACCATTATAGTTAAACTGGGGCAAGACACTGTGTAGACACTATTTTGGTTTGTTTTAAACCTGTTCCTAATCTAACTAAACTAAACAGATAAGCCACTCTTAAACCAGAGTAAGAGCACACCGGAGTATTTTAAGTTATACTGGAACAACTTTCTTGTGTAGATAAACCCTAAATTTAAGGGACACTGGCCGCGTCTGTTCTGTGTATTAGCCCTGACTTTGCAGCTTTCCTTGTGTATAGGAGGGTTTGCTCTTGAGCATGTAGGCTGGCTGCTGGCCACAACTGATTGAAGTCAGGGTAATTTCCAGTGTAAACAATGCAATTGTCAGAGGAATCATTTTTATTTTATGTTTTAAACAAATGTCCTGACTGTTGCTAACCCTATTATTAAAACCTGAGCACTTTAAAAATTGAATGTGCCTATTCCTGTTCTAGTTTGGTTATTTTTCATCATGGTGAATGTGAAGCTAGACCAGTGTAGTTTCACTTCTGTCTCCTGCTTTTAGCAAAACTTTTTGTTTGGTTTGCAAGGCTTAAAGGAGAAAATTTAAAATCCAAATACTTCCAAATAAACCTGCCACTACAGGAATTTAACAATAATCGCACTGTAAACAGATTTCTCTATCTCTGGCACCAAATCACCCATCACATATTAATTGAAAAGCTTTGAAAATTGATCTTTGTTCCCCTCCCCTGTAATGTCATTTGTTTTCTACACTGTGTAAGCTGTGAATCCAGTTTAGTTTCACTTTCAGGCTCTTAGTTCTTCCTGTTTTGGTTGCTCATGCTGCCAGGAACTGTTCGCTAACAACCAGCTATTCCACTGGCATTTCCAAATCCTCTCTGAACATATTGCTATAAGTTTTTTGTCAAAGCAAATTTTTATTTGTATAGAAAAGCCAAGCTGAGTCAAATGTCAGTAGTTTCTCTTTAGTGTGTCTTTAATTTTGCATCTGAGTTCCCTGCACCCTTTGTTTTAAGGCCTGTGATGTACCTCTTTCCTGAAAGTATTTTCAAGTGCCTGCCTTAGGCCTCAATCTTACTTAAAATGGGAGAGGCAGCAGCCAGAGGAGTGATTGCTAAGCAGCAGCTGGCCCTGAGTGAGGGGGGAAGGGGAGCTGATCTGTCAGAAAAAGAAGGGAAGTTTGATAAAGGTGACCAGAAAAGGATTAAGAAATTGGGTGTGTGCTTTGTATGACTTAGATAAAGAGCTGAAGAGGTAGGGAGGGTGGGGGGTGTTTCTCTGCTTGCTTTTCTTAACTTTAGACTTAGGAGGAAGATTGATTTTTCCTAGCAGCGTAGCTGGGAGAGAGGGTAGATCTCAGAGGTGGCATTTTGTGGGTGCTCACTTTATTTCAATGTTTTCTCAACGCGGCGGCGGGAGGGAGGATAAACCTCCTAAATGTGAAGCCAGTGTAACTGGTGCAGTGACGTCAGCCTCAGGCCTTGTCTACCCTAGAATGGTTTGTCAGTAAAGGGGGGCCAGCTTCCAGTCACCGCAGCGTGGGGTTGAACACGTGGAGCAGAGCGGTCACTGCGCATCATGGGCCTGTTGCTGGAGGACTCTTGGTTGCAGTGTAGGTAATGCAGCATCCACACAGGCACTGTGCTGGTAGAACAGTCCAGGTGGATGGGCTCCGGTCACTCGAACTAGTGTAACTTCACTGGCGGGAGGTCAGGGCGGTGCTGGCAGGACTCAGATTTGAGCATAGACGTGTGCACGGCTGTGCCAACAGAAGCCGAGTTTTGCTGGGAGATCATCATCATTAGTTGTTGCAACAGTGCCTCAGAGCCTGAGTCAAGGACCAGGACCCATTGCGTTAGGTGTGATGTAAACTCAGAACAGAAAGACAGGCCTTGGCCCACAGAGCAGCCAACCTAATATAAGACACATGACCGAGGGATCCAGACGGGCTGCACAGGGGAACAATGAGCCAGAACTGGCCAGCAGGATAGGCAGTGGTTGGTGCACACCAGCAGCCTAAACCTAGTAACCTAGACCAGGCCGCGGTGATTTCATGGAAGATGCGTCAAAATCCCTGCAACTGGTTTGAAACCATCAAGTGATGATTCTTCACCTGCAGTAGCATGAGTCTGTGCTCAAGGTCCTGATTTAGCAAGGTGCTTACGTCCTTTCCAGTGCCGTGGCTAGGATAACAGTGGTTAAACGCCCCAGGCCCGTCTGCACCACTTATCCCCTGCCATGATGAACTGAATGTGGGAGAAGTTGGGGTCTCTAGTATCCTACTATGGACATCAAGGAGGCTTGCAGGCTAGACAGGGCCTGGATTTTTTATGTGGAACTTTATTTTAACTTTTTTGGGCCTTCTGTCTAGAGCAACACAAGCCTCTCTCTCTTTCAGCTGAGAGAGGATGTTCATGAGCTAATTTCTGCACAAGGTCAGAGCTCTTACTTTACCATAGGGGATGCCTACACTGTTTAAAACCCCCCCAAACCAACCCCCACGCTGTAGCAACACATCTCAAAGCCTGGGTCAACTGACCTGGGCTCCTGCTACAGGGCTAAAAATAGCCCGCTTGGGTGGGAGCCCAGGCTCTGAGACCCACCTTCTTGCTGGGCTGACCTGCCTCTGAGACTGGCTGCCTTGGCTTATTGTTGAGATTTTTGCAGTACAGACATGCTCACAGTCACAGGACTGGGGCTGAGTTCCTGAGGCACAATGAAAGATTTTTTTTTCCCCCCCTTTCTTTCCCCTCAGATCTCTTACACCTTTCACAACTATGAGGCTGGAGTTCGTCACATCCTGTTCCAACACGGAGGACAGGACACCCAGTTCTGGGCAGGATGGTATGGGTGCAGAGTGACAAACAGCAGCATCACCATTGAGCCAGGGATGTCACCGTAGAGAGGCCATGGGGCAGGTGCCGGCTCGGGGCTCTGGAATCAAAAGGCCGCTCATAGCGCTTGAGGTAATCTACGTGAGCTCTTCCAGTTCAGACTTGGGCTGGTGTCAGCGTTTTGGTTTTTTTGCTGCCCCCAGCCTCTCCGTGACTGTATTTTCATACCCTGTCTGAAGAGCAACTGCTCCTGGGTGACACCAAGCCTCCTACAAGCTCTGCCCTCTGAAGTGACTTGTCTTCCCTGCGACTCCACATTCTCCTCATGCATCTCTCACCAGTGACATCAGCTAGGCCAAGCAGCTGAGTGTCTTTCCCATGACAGGGAGTGTGCTCCGGGGCTCCTGTCAGCCAAGGAATCTGCCTCGTCTAACCTGCCTGGCCTTGGCTGCAGCACCTGTTTAAAGGAGACCTTCAAAGGGGGCAGGAATTGAGCGTTTCTATAGAATATCTCACAGGTTTAAGAGCTTGAGGGGGCGGGGAGGATGTAACAGGTGTGTGCTAACTCAGCACCCTGTCCCTCATCTCCTCCTCTGTTCACACTAATTGAGCTTGGATTGAAAGACAGGCCCTTGGCAGAGGAGGCCAGTTAACTGAGTGGGGGTAAGGCTGAGGGGTTTGGTGGATGGAAATATCTCCAGCAGCTACACCCATGGAAGGAAGAGGGGGAGCCTGGAGGAAGGCAGAACTGGCTGCTACTACTCCTGTCCCCCTTTGCTTCTGGGTCAGGGTATGCTGCAGGCTCACTGTAAACCAGGAATGGACCTTTTTGGCCTGAGGGCCACATTGGGGTATGGAAACCATGTGGCGGGCCATGAATGCTCACGAAATTGGAGATAAGGGTGTGGGAGGGGATGAGGGCTCTGGGGTGGGGTAAGAAATGAGGAATTCAGGGTGCAGGAGGGGGCTCTGGGCTGTGGCAGGGGATTGGGGGACCCTCAGGGGTGCAGGCTCTGGGCAGTGCTTACCACAAGTAGCTCCCAGAAGCATGTTCTGCTCCAGCAATGAGGCGGTACCTGCAGACGGGGCAGTGTGCAGAGCCACCTGGCCGTGCCTCCACGTACTACGTAGGAGCTGGAGGGGGTGGGGCGTCATGTCGGCTGAGTCCTGGGAGCTGCCCGGTGCTGGGCAAGCCCCCACTCCCTGGTGGGAGTGCCGGAGCAGGGCAAACCCCCGACCTCGCTCCCCCGTGGGAGCTGAGAGCCAGATTAAACGGTCTGACGGGCCGCATATGGCCTGTAGTTTGTCTACTGCTGCTGTAAACATAAAATACACTAAACCAGGGTGGTGGTGAAGGAGAACTGGTGTGGTTGTGGTCAGTGGTGAAGGCCTAAAGGAACTCTCAGGGGACCACGTGTGGACAGGGACCTTTTGTTGTTTTCCCTACTTTATTGTCAGGATTTTTAAGTCTTTATTGTGGCACTTTGCTTTGGAACACGAGCTCTCTCTCTCCCCCTAAATTAGGAGCTAGGGTTGTTTTGAATCTTTCAAGAGCTTTGCTTCCAACTGTTAATAGTCTGAATTAGTGTTTTCTTGGTATCTCTAATCAAACATCTGGGTTCTCCAGGCAGCCACAGAAGCTTCCTTGGAAAATAAGGTGAGACTCCTATGTGTAGTGTGTAAAGCAAGCAACAACAAAAAAATTGCACAGCCTCTTTTATATGCTGAAAACAAAATCAACCGACTGGACCTAAGCCCTCTTCCCCCTGTATGTCACCTTGCCATGTTTCCTACAGCTTGGAAAGAAACTAGACCCTGATTTCATTCTTGGGTGACAGCTGCAGATTGACTAAGGAAAGTGAAGCTGAGGAGACCAGGTTTGTAGCTCTAGAGAACTCTCCCCCTGTACGCTAGCCCTGGGCATCATTGCTTTCGTGTGTGGACAGAGGGAAGGTGCAGAGTGATCCTAGCACCCAGGAAAGGGAGTTGAGGGTGAGGAAGAGAGGGGTTATTTTTCTCTTCAGGTGTAAGGCAGACAATTTATGAAGTGCTTATGCTAAGGGCTAGCCACTAGGAATGAATAAAGTGATATGTATATTCCTAGTCTCTTTCTTTACTCTCCTTTGTCTAATGGAGTTCTGCTCTCGGATACTGGGAGTAGGGCATCAGGTGATTCCATGCTGGCTGTCTGACCGATTCATCATCAAGGGAGCTCAGTTAAGTAAAGGTGTTTCTTTGCCAACACAGTCTAGGGCCCAATAGTCAAATGATGCTCTTCCCTGTTCTACCCTCACCACTACAAGATTCTGTGGGCCCCTTTGAGGCCTTTTGCAACCATGTTTTTTCTAAAGGGTGTTGTATAAACTTAAGTGAAATCCCACTTACACTGCTCCCAGTAAAGTCAATGGGAGTTTTGCCATAAGTTTCAATGGTAACAGAGTTGAGCAACTTCAAGTGCTTTTTGAAAAACCCCTCCCTCAAACTCCTCTTGTAGGAGCACAGACAAGGAACAGACTCCAGCTTGCAGAGTAACAGCACTGCACATCAAAGAGGGCCCTGACTTGGGGGGGAGGGAGGTCGGCAGCAGCTGAGCAGCAGATGGGCCTATGCTATATGGACAATGCATCTGCCTATTGTTTCCCCCACAGGATGGAGTGGAGACCCTTCATAGAGAGGCAAGAGGCTGGTGCTGTATTATCTTTGCCATGGGAACCTCCTCTCCTTGAGAGAAGCCTGAGTGGTGGCAGCATGTCACCAAAGTAGCTGTGATGTAGACAGGGTGTGTCCCAACACCTTGTGCACACAGCCCTAGTTTCCTGGGGACCCATGGGATTGGAGGGCTGGATCCCTCTCCCTCTGGAGCTGTAGATGTACAGGAGGAGATTGGGACTCCGAAGGAATCCAAGGGACGTTCTCCACCCCTCCTAGAACTTTCCCATGGAAACATGGGCCATCACTTGTGTCTAACGCTGAAAATGGAGAGCAAGTCTACTGGGTGCAATGGTGCCAGTTATACTTGGTCACAAAGTGAAATGGTGCTCTGACCAGTACAGTCCTGTACATCTACCACCCTGGGGGAGGCTGCCTTTGACACAATTCAGGCTAGCTCCGTGATGGTAGAACTCACTCAGTATTTATTGACAGCTCTACAGATCACTCACCTCACAGTGGACACACACTGTAGATAAGGCCCCACTCATCCCTGCTGTAAGTCAGGCGATTTCAGTGGAGTCACACGGGCGTAGGCTTCCCACAGAACACGCCCAAGTTACCCAGCTGGATGCTCAGAGGTACATGCACAGAATGGACATGCACGTACCAATGTGAAACTGAGCTGCCCTATTAAGGCTTAAATCGGGATCATAAAGAGCAAGTGAGAAGTACACTGAGTCCCACTGGCAGTTTACACGACATCCCTCACTCTTTGCAACTGTGGATTTGCTGTGACAATCTGCGCGTACACGCACACACACACACACACACACAGGAGTCAGTTCTATGTATGGATTTGCTGTGACAATCTGCGCGTACACGCACACACACACACACACAGGAGTCAGTTCTATGTATGGATTTGCTGTGACAATCTGCGCGTAACACACACACACACACAGGAGTCAGTTCTATGTATGGATTTGCTGTGACAATCTGCGCGTACACACACACACACACACACACACACACAGAGGAGTCAGTTCTATGTATGGATTTGCTGTGACAATCTGCGCGTACACGCACACACACACACACACAGGAGTCAGTTCTATGTATGGATTTGCTGTGACAATCTGCGCGTACACACACACACACAGGAGTCAGTTCTATGTATGGATTTGCTGTGACAATCTGCGCGTACACACACACACACAGGAGTCAGTTCTATGTATGGATTTGCTGTGACAATCTGCGCGTACACGCACACACACACACACACACACACAGAGGAGTCAGTTCTATGTATGGATTTGCTGTGACAATCTGCGCGTACACGCACACACACACACACACACACACACAGAGGAGTCAGTTCTATGTATGGATTTGCTGTGACAATCTGCGCGTACACACACACACACACACACACAGAGGAGTCAGTTCTATGTATGGATTTGCTGTGACAATCTGCGCGTACACACACACACACACACACAGAGGAGTCAGTTCTATGTATGGATTTGCTGTGACAATCTGCGCGTACACACACACACACACACACACACACAGAGGAGTCAGTTCTATGTATGGATTTGCTGTGACAATCTGCGCGTACATGTACACACACACACACACACACACAGGAGTCAGTTCTATGTATGGATTTGCTGTGACAATCTGCGCGTACACACACACACACACACACACACACAGGAGTCAGTTCTATGTATGGATTTGCTGTGACAATCTGCGCGTACACGCACACACACACACGTAGGAGTCAGTTCTATGTATGGATTTGCTGTGACAATCTGCGCGTACATGCACACACACACACACACACACGTAGGAGTCAGTTCTATGTATGGATTTGCTGTGACAATCTGCGCGTACACACACACACACACACACACACACACGTAGGAGTCAGTTCTATGTATGGATTTGCTGTGACAATCTGCGCGTACATGCACACACACACACACAGGAGTCAGTTCTATGTATGGATTTGCTGTGACAATCTGCGCGTACACACACACACACACACACACGTAGGAGTCAGTTCTATGTATGGATTTGCTGTGACAATCTGCGCGTACATGCACACACACACACACACACACAGGAGTCAGTTCTATGTATGGATTTGCTGTGACAATCTGCGCGTACATGTACACACACACACACACACACACACACAGGAGTCAGTTCTATGTATAGCGGTAAGAGCACTTTAAACCCATAGGCCGCATGGCCGTCAGGAGCTGCTCAAAGGACATTAAGTCACTTAGGAAGCCAGCTGAAGAAGCACCTGTTAACAAGGTAAGTTGCATCCCCCTAGAAGACACTGGATTCCACTGGAAGATCTGAGGCTTGGCCAAGGTTGAAGGTGATGGGAAGAGTCAGCATCAGGTACCTTTGTGGGCTCTTTCTTCTACATAAAGCTGCATCTAGGAGAGAGTAACAGAAGGGATCCAGAAAGGTAACCCTGCAGGGTAACCTAACAGGGCGAGTGTAATAGCCCTGGCAGTATTGGTTTAATACCTTCTTAGGGGAACTGTACTGTAGAGGGAAGAAACCAGACAGGTCTTCTATTTGTATGAGATGGTGTAAGCTGGTGCTGTGGGGCAGCAACAAAAAGCTAAGGATTCACCCCATAGATTTATTCTTGCTCTAGGGCCTAATCCTTCACGAGGACAGTTCCAAGGGGAATTCTGGATGCTGGGCACATTTCCAAGAGGTGCTCAGCCCCCCCCCCCCCCCCCCCCGCCCTGACTATTAGTGGGCAGGGGTTGCAATAAAACACACAGCTTTGACAGATGGGACCTACAACCCAGCCCTCCAGCAGTGGCTGGGCCGTGGCCTCTCTCACCTCTGACGAGCAGGGCTGGGTGTTCTTTGGCTTGCCTGGTGGGCACCTCACTCCACAGCCCCTGTACACGCAGATGGGCTGAGCCGGGCTGAACTTACTGGTGATGGGACAATAGGGTCAGTGCATCCTGCTACAAACAGGTTTCATACTTTAGCTGGGGAAGGTCCTGCCCTCCCACGCTTGCCTGGGCTCAGTGCACTCATTAATACCAGCCTCCTGGGTCAGCAGCTTGTGCTGGGGTAAGATACATCACAGCAGTGTCAAGCCCGGTAGACGACGGCAGCAGGAGACAGGTTCCCCTCACCCCAGGGAGTTTGCATAGATTGACGTAGTGCTCATGCGAGCCTGGGCTAGAGCGCTCCGCTCACCTTTAAGATATCCGAAGTCATGGTCTTCAGGGGGATTAGCCGGGGGTCATGCATGTGCACGTCCTGCTCATCTGCCAGGATCCATGGGAAATCCTGGTGGCAGGAATAGAAGAGGCTTCTTCAGAACAGGGGCAATGAACTGCAGAAAGCACCCTCCCTTTCTGGGCTCCTCAGAGGGCTGGAAATGGGAGCAGCAGTGGGTGGAGGTGGCAGGGACCCACTACTGCCCCTCCCTCTGGCCTTCTGCACCCCACAAGTGCTCCCCCCATCCCCTCCTTCCCAGTCATGGGGTCTATGGTAAAGGAGTAAGGAGGGATGCGGGGGGGAGAAGGGGAACATGAGGATTTGAGGGGGACCATAGATCAGGCTGGGGGAGGACCAGAGACAGAGCACACACCTCAGCAGAGGGACATGAGGTGGGCAACCCAGCCTGGCTGGGGAGGTAACAGGGAGCCCACAGCTTTAAAGACTAGTTTATACTGGAAAACCTTGGTAATCTACACACTGACAATGCCCACCCTGCCCATCCCTCAGCCAGGGTTTAAAAGCAGAGGCTGAGCTGAGGTCTCCAATTACTAAGGGCTCATTACCTTATGCACGCAGAGACCTCAATCTCCTCCTCCAATTCCCTCCCCAGACCTCCACTTTCAGGCTTTACCTCTGCCCTGGGGCTACAACATAAGAACTCAAAGTGGGTTACGTATCCCATAGGGGAGAGGGGGCTCAGCACCTTGCAAGATCAAGCCCTTAGTGACTTGCCCATCTGGAAGACAGGTATGCTATTTCCCCAGTGGGGTGTTGTAAAGATGTACCAGCTAACATGCAAGTAGGCTGCTGGCCTGTCCACCTGGCCTTAGGGGCACTGCCAGCCTGCCTGCTGTCTGGTTCAGGGCCTTCTTCACAGGGTTTCAGCTTGAGTTGTTTCACGTATAACTGGTAAATTCCACTTCTCAAACTAGTCCCCTTCCCCTGACCCAGGGGCTGCCAGTCAGCACCTCCCATGACTGGCGGCTCTTCCCTAATCCTCCTACAGGTCATCTGCCTGGGATCTACCTTGCTCTAGGGCAGTGGTTCTCAAACTGTGGGATGCCAAAGTGGGTCGCAACCCTATTTAATGGGGTCGCCAGGGCTAGCTTAGACTTGCTGGGGCCAAAGCCTGAGCCCCACTGTCTGCCTGAGGGCTTCAGCCTTGGGCAGTGGGGTTGAGATTACAGGCCCCCTGCCTGGGGCCAAAGTGCTTTGGCCCCCAAATCCTGGGTGGCAGGGATGAGGCGGGCTCTGACTTCAGTCCCTTCTCCCGGGGTCATGTAGTAATTTTTGTTGTCAGAAGGGGGTTGCGGTGCAATGAAGTTTGAGAACCCCTGCTCTAGGTCCCACCTGAGGAGCCAACCTACTTCCTATAGCCCTAGTCCAAGGGTCTCCAACAGGAGCCTTCCTGCTCCCTGCAGCTCTCCCAGCTGGGCTACTTGTTAGCTTTTATAATCACCTGATCAGTCGCAGGCGTGGCTGGGCGCAATGCCCCTCAAAAGGCCAGACACCTGCGACACTGCATGTAAGTTTCACATGCAAAACTTCACACCTTCCTTGTTAAGGAGAGGTCTTTGGAGAGCTCTTCTAGACATCAGGAATTGCTGTGGCCCAGCCCTTCCAGGGAACGATAATATAGTCCCCCCTTGATGAAAGGAGAATCCAGAGCTGCAGCACCTTAATTCACTTCCATCCTTCTTTACTGTGCAGCTCACCGCAAGCAACAAGCAGACAGAGGCATCACCTACCTTTATCACCTGGATCTTCTCCATGTTTCGTGTGGCAGCCTCCCGCGTATGAACCAGGACAGTGAAGGTGCAGCCTACAAGGGAAGGGGCAGAGATGAGAGGAAGGCACTGTAATCATCTGGCCAGAGGCCTGGGAGGTAACAGGGGCCAGGGTATTATCTAGACAGTGCCCAGACAGAGCTAGCTCCTCTGCATGTTTCATCCACAGCTAGGTAAATACCAAGACATGTTCCTTTCCAAAAGGGACTGGGAAGGTAACCTGTCATTTTCTGATCTCTCTGGACTTTGCTAGTGCTCTCCTTAGCACCACAATTCAGAAACCGTGGACCCCTCCATGGTCTCCACCTTCCCCTCTCCTGTAAACCTAACGCCACCTCCTGGCCTCTGATGCAACTGGCCCAGGGCACCTTTCATAGGATTCGGATTTTGCTCCAGTGCTCGTGATCAAAATTTTTTTTATCCTCACCTCTTGAGCGGGATGCTCTTTACCAGTTGGCTGCTGTCTTCCACCCAGAGCTGGTTGCATTTCAGTGATGCTGCATATGTCTAATATGCACCATGCCCTGTGATCTTTTGGGGATTAAATCCCCTGTACCTTTTTTTAATCTCCATTTCTGCCTGTCTGGGTGGCAGTGAGCCCAGCTATGCAAAACAAACTCCCTCGTGTGTTTGTCCAGGAAAGACATTTTACCACCCCTTACGCAAAGAAAATCCGGCAGCGAGGCTATCACCGGAGCAGCAGTCCGAGCCCTCCCTATAAAGGGAATGCTTTCAGTCCTACCTGGGGGGTTGTTGTCGAGCACAGCATCACACACGCTAATCTTCAGGATGAAGGCACGGAGCAACTGCTCCACATGGGACAGCAGCGAGTCTGAGCTGGGGAGGAGACCGAGATCATTAGGGGAGATCCCTGGCCCAAAGGGACGGGTAGTTGTTTCTAATATCAGCTCCCAAAGTCGAACACAGAGAGAGGGAAGCAGGCACTGGCTGCACTGGGCTGGTAGGAGGGAACCTTTACCTGATGGAAAGTAGAGGTGGCTGAGTGATCTCAAAGACAAATCTCTCCACTGGATGGTGCTCTTTATCCAGGATTACTACCACCACCTTCTCCACATCATTCTGCAAGCACAGACACCAGGTCAGGAGCTCTCCGCCAGACCGTCCCTTTCCCTCTGCTTCCCCATCCCCGTCTCTGATGCTCCCTATGAATCAGGAACATACTTATCTGCTCTAACCCCACATCCCTTCAGTGTTTTCTCAGTGCTTTAGAGAGGCCGCTGGATTGCTCTGGCTACAATCAAATGCCCTATCAGTTTATTATCGGATACGAGATCCCTGTTGGGGGACTACCCCCAAGACTTGTAGGGAGCTGCAATCCACCAAATGGGACATTTCCTGCTCTGGCTACTGCTACATGGAGAGGCAATGTGCAGCCATCATAGGCTTCCACTTCCCACAGGGGATTAGACACAAGGCATGCAATATACACACTCCCAACTCATGGGCAATACAAGGCAGAGGACAGGTCACACACTCAGCCCAAGTATCTTGGAGTAGTACAGTAATACTGTGCTTCCACATGCTCAGAGCAAGAGAATCCACAAAGGGAGCGTGTCAAAGAAGCAGAGTTCAAAGGGGCACCAGTAAGGCAAGTTTGGCTCCATAATTTAGTTTATGTAAAAATAAGCGTTTAAAAATCCTTAAGCCAACAAACTATTATTTATTGAGTTACAAAGAGTGCTTAAAAAAATAAACCAATGATATTCCCCTGGAGCGTTAGCTACCAACTACTGCAGCTTTGTGGCTAATGCTCAAAAGTGAAATTGATGAAAATTAACCAGGAAGTGAAACTGCCCTATTTCAAGCCTCCAAAGGGAGAGGAATGCCAAACTGCGAAGATTAAAAAACAGACTAAGGCAATGAACTCTGCACAGCCAGACCTCACTGCAGGATCGGGGCCTTAAGCAGGTGTCTAACTTTGCTTGAATTAATAGTCTCCCTCACTTCCATAAGGCTGTTCACATGACTAAAGTTACTTGTGACTAAGTGTCTTCAGGATTTATAACACCCACCCCTTTTTTTTTTTTTAAATATAAAGTGTTTCAGTTTTAATCATTTGTAACATACCATAGTTAAGGACATATATATATTTAACAGTCTGCTGGTATCCCTTCACCTGTTTCAACCTAAATAAATGACCACCACCAAACCTGGACCCTGGCTTTGGGGACTACACCAGTGGTCCCCAAACTGTGGGATGCATCCCTCCTAGGGGGGTGCAGAAGAACTTTGGGGCAGGGGGAGGAAGTAGCAGACCTGGGCCAGCCCCCATGGGGGGCAGGGAGAGAACGCCACGCAGCCCTGCTCTGCCCCCAGCTCTGCTCCGGCCCTGTCCCCACCCAGTCCCGCTCCCAGCCATGGTTCCGGCCACAGCCCCCACCCACAAGCTCGACCCCTGGCTGTGGCTCTGTTCCCGGCCCCAGCCTCGGACCCCTTACCGCGTTTCCCCACTCCCCCCGGGAGCTGCGGCCCCGGCCCCCAGAGTGAGGTGCAAACAGGGTAAGGGGGTATGTGACCCTGAAAAGTTCAGGGACCACTGCTTTATACAAATCTCTGCACCAAATAGAGAAAACATGATTGCTTACAAATCCTGTTTCCACAATATCAAGACAATTTATTTTAAAGTTCTCTATTTGTGACTAGTGCATTTGGGGCGGGGGGATGTGCCCAGCACAAGGTCTCTGGCATGGCCTCACCTTCTCTAACAGTGGCTTCACACAGTGCAGCGTGTCCTGGATGTACTGATTCAGCTCTGGATGACAGGACATCTGTGCAAACAGAATGAGAATTCAGATCAAACAGCAGAAGGGCTGGTGAGCTACAGGGCCTCAGGGGGTTGCTACTGTGATGGAATATTTTACCACTAGGTTGCCAGTTCAAATCCAGCAGAGGTAAGTGGTGATTGGAAGTTGTTGGCATCTGATGACTATGCAGTGGCTTAGGAGAAATAAGTCTAGTGGTGTCTGCTGACAACTAGCCCAACCAGTGTCCACCTCACAATTGGTCTTTCTTAGAGACAGTCCCTCCCAGCCAGCATTACAGCACACTGGGGGGGGCAGCATGGGAGAAATCTGTACTGTTGTTGCCTGTGATCTATCTGTTCTGTGCATAAGTGTAACGCTTCAAACTCCAGGGTTGTTACTTCATCCCTTTTCAGGACCACTCAATTCACTTTGAAAATAGTTCAGGGTTTGCGTTTGTTCAAATATAAGCTAATTCAGTTAGGCACCAGCCAGAACAAATTAACCCCTAATATTTCATTCATGGCCACAAATGCCATTCTAATAGCACCTCCTTGAGCCTAAGCATTAACCGTACCTGCCTCTTCTATAGTGCTTTTGAACATACAGCATGCTCCCTCTTAACTGTGTATTTCCTCATAGCCATAGAGCTGCAGGAGAGACTCCTACCTGGACTGGTACATTGTATTTTTTCCTCTTCTGAAAGATCCCAATGGGGTAAACTTCTCTAACATAAAGGATGAGGTGAACAGCCACTTCAAGAAACTCGGAGAGAACATCTGCAACCACTGGAGAACAGAACAAAGAGGTGGTGGAGCAAAGCAGGTAAAGAAAAACAAGCCCAGCAAATATTTCATGGCTGCAGGAATCTGTTGGTTAACTGCTGCCCATGATCATCATCTTATCTGTACACTGCTTGTTTTATAAACTGCAGTGACATGACTGTCCTCCCAAAGTGTTTTACCCTTGAGATCACGGCATTCACCACTGAGATGTAACCACCTCTAGGGTGGAATGCGCCAGCCATTTAACACCACAGCAACACTAAACAACCCTTTATGACCGAAGTAAAGAAAAATCCTGTATCCCGTTGAAACTGCAGGTGAACTGGAAGAAGGCAGAATTTAATGATACACCCATGTAAAGATATTATAATTATGCCAGTTGACAAGGATTACAAGTGCTCCTTACAGGTCTCACTTCCAAGTAATGAGACCAGAGCTACCCCTGCTTAGATTGTGAGTTCCAAAGACCACAACAGGGCAGCTGCAGTGGTCATCTTAACCTCTAACCTGCAATACTACAACCCAGCAGCAAGGCATAAAGGTGTCCCATTTTCCCGGGACACGGTTCACCCCATTCGCAGCAGTAGCTGAGGGGTAGAAGACCAACACTCCAAGGCAGAGCCAGCTCTACTTCCACATGACTCCCTGTGCCATCAGGAAGCATCATGAGCTTCTGGAGAGCAGCGTGCTTTGCTACCTTGTCCAAAGTTGAGATCCTGCCGAGTGAGGGTGGTCATCTTTCCAGTAACCTGGAAAGGAATTGGGAAAGGAGTTTTTCCTCTCAGCTCATGGCGCCATTCAGATCCCTCTCCCCAGTTACCTCCATACCCACACTCTAGATATTTGTGCGCACACTAACTGCTATTACACAAACCAACAAAGGTCCTGATTTCCAAAGGCTGCATAGCCCCCATCTACTTGAATTGCCATAGGGGTTGCTCGCAGATCCGATCTCAGGAACCCAGTTAAAGCGATAGTGGGTTACAAATCATAATTTTGCACAAGATGACATCCGTCCTCGTGTTCTTGATAACGCCTCAAATTGCAAATCTGAATGTACTCAGATGGGTTTCTGCTGTTTGTGGGAGTGCTGTTTGTTAGTTAATGTTTTGGGATGTGTGATTTTGTTTTGTTTGGGGGGGGGGTGTTTTTGTTTTTTTGCATTAGCCTGGGCAATGAAAATATGCTCGTCAGTTTCACAGTTTTTTGTCCATTTCCCTTTCTGGTTCTCCTGCCCTAACAAAATGCAGCAGTGCTTGAGTTGCAAACACTGCAGGGGAAGGATTAAAGCCAAACAAAATTGTATTGACATGGAAAAAAGTGTTTTATAAAACCAAACTCCCCTCCCCTATGAGGCACTTATACGGCCTCTGTTACACAGTTGCTGAGCACCTCACAATTATTAATGTATTTATCTTCACAACACCCTAGGAGGTAGGGAAGTGCCATTATCTGGGGAACTGAGGCAGAGAGAGACTAAGGCCATAGATTTTAAAGGTATTTAGGCAGGGCTGCCCTCAGTGTTGCAATGCCTAACTGATTTAGAAGACTACATCTCATTTCCAAAAAGGATTTAGACACTTCAGAACCTAAATTCCATTGACAGTCACCGAGCGCAGCAACGCCTAAATACCTTTAACAAAAATCTAGGCCTCCTCCCCGGGACATACAGGGAGTCTGTGGCAGAGCAGGGAACTGACCCAGCTCTCCAGTGTCTCATGCTCGTACCTTCAACCTCAGACCATCCATCGTCTCACAAAGACCCTAATCCTGCAGACACCTGAGGACAATTGCAGGACAAGACCACAGTTTTTAATCCCTAACCCTCCCCCCGGCCCCAACATAAGGTTTACTATGGTGAGGACAGAGGGCCATGGGTCTGACCTGGATAGCCACCAAGATCAACAGGAGTCCTTCCCTCCATTACAATGGGTTTTGGATCAGGCCCCAGGTGTGTCCCTGGATTACAGTAGATAGGAAAATGTACTGATCCACTCAGCCCAATGCAGGGCTCTTGATATGGGTTTGGGAGGTCCCAGTGGATGGAGGGTGTCTGAGTTCTTAATGATGCTGTTTGGAAGCTGAGCGTCTTGTCAATGGAGACATTATTACTACTTTAATTTGGTACCATCAGATTTTTTTTAATATATCTTTTCAGGGCAGTTGGCCAGACAGGATCCTGAGCAAACCTGGGTTTGGCAATCGGGGGCAGTCGCTCCTAAACCCAGCAGTGCACCCCCATCTCACCCCCCGGTGATCGGTTCACTCTCACAGCACAAGGCCACCCCCAGTAGGGCTTCTCCCGGGCAGCAGGTGGGTGGCTTCGCCCCCCACACCCACCCCTGCGCTGGGCACCTTGCTGGGGGGGCGGGGTGTTTCTGTGAGAAATTTGGCACCTTCCAGTAACAGGGTCACATGTGGGGCCCCCCCACCCTCGTCTCATTTCAGGGCAGACGCAGGACCGAGCCCACCTACGCTCCCTCCCATGCTAGGAAACATTCTGTGCCCCCCTCCCCCGTGCCCCCCCTTTCGGGGCACCCCCGGAGAGCCCCCCCCCACCAATCCAGCCCCCTCTCCCTTTCGGGGCACCCCCCGGAGAGCCCCCCCCACCAATCCAGCCCCCTCTCCCTTTCGGGGCACCCCCGGAGAGCCCCCCCCACCAATCCAGCCCCCTCTCCCTTTCGGGGCACCCCCGGAGAGCCCCCCCCCCCACCAATCCAGCCCCCTCTCCCTTTCGGGGCACCCCCGGAGAGCCCCCCCCCACCAATCCAGCCCCCTCTCCCTTTCGGGGCACCCCCGGAGAGCCCCCCCCCCCACCAATCCAGCCCCCTCTCCCTTTCGGGGCACCCCCGGAGAGCCCCCCCCACCCATCCAGCCCCCTCTCCCTTTCGGGGCACCCCCGGAGAGCCCCCCACCACCCATCCAGCCCCCTCTCCCTTTCGGGGCACCCCCGGAGAGCCCCCCCCAATCCAGCCCCCTCCCTTTCGGGGCACCCCCCCCCAATCCAGCCCCCTCTCCCTTTCGGGGCACCCCCGGAGAGCCCCCCCCAACAATCCAGCCCCCTCCCTTTCGGGGCACCCCCGAGAGCCCCCCCCACCAATCCAGCCCCCTCTCCCTTTCGGGGCACCCCCGGAGCCCCCCCAACAATCCAGCCCCCTCTCCCTTTCGGGGCACCCCCGGAGAGCCCCCCCATTATAAGCCTTTCTCCCCCCCGGCACCCCCTGGGCCCGCCCTTACCGCGGGGCGGCGGCCGCTCCCCGCCCGGGGCCCGGTTGCCAGGCTCGGGGGGTGTCCGCCCGGCGCGGCCCTTTGACGTGCCTCGCCGCCCCCTGCCTTCCGCCGGGTCCTAGCGCCGCCTCGCTCAGCTCCCGCGGCGCCCGGCCGCTCACAGCTGGAGGGCCCGGGGCTGGGGGGAGCCGGGGGCCCTGGCGAGCTTGGTGTGGGGATCTCCGGGTGGGGGTCCCCCATGGGCGGGAGGCTCATTGTGAGCCCAGCTGCGCGGTGTCCCTTCCTCTTCAGATAAAGGGTCTCCAGAGTGCGTGTTCCCACGGGACAGGCAGGGCCTGAGCCAGAGGCAATGGGACTGGGAGCCTGGCAAGGGGCTTTGAATCAGGCCTTTGAAAGGGAGTCCGGGGGGGGGGGGGGGGGGAACGACGACACTGTGGGGTTCAAAAATCACCTTAAAAACAAACACATTTCAGAGCTCTTTCCTTAGTAACACGCTCGAAATTGAGTTTAGCACTAACATGCTTCTCTTCATCTGATGGTCTCATTTTACAGGTAGGGAAACTGAGGCACAAAGAGGTGAGTGACTTGATCAAGGGCTTTCAGTGAGTCCCTTTCAGATTTTTTTCTACTCATTTTTCAGCACCGTAGGGATGTGCAATGCTGCACTCAGAGTGGTGGACATACTCTGGAATTTAGGGCCCAATCCTGCAAACCATTATTCACACAAATGTTCCCATTGATTTCCCTAAGAATTATTCCTGCCAACGAAGGTAAAGGTTTGCAGGTGTGAGTTCTTACATTACATAAGAAAATATAGGAACAGCATTTCAGCTTTGTCATATAATCGTACAACCATAGAGTGAGAAGGGACTGCAAGGATCTAGTCCAGTGGTATTCAAACTTTTTTTCTGGTGACCCAGTTGAAGAAAATTGTTGATGTCCCCAACCCGGAGGGGGCTCAAGGCTGGGGCAGAGGGTTGGGTGTGGGGCTGCGGGGTGGGGCCGGGAATGAGGGGTTCAGGCTGTGGGAGGGGGCTCTTGGGTGGGGCAGGGGTGCCGGAGGGGGTCAGGGCTCTGGGTGCAGGCTCTGGGGTGGGGTCAGGGTTGAGGGTGTTGGGGTACAGGAAGGGGCTCTGGGTTTAGGGGGGCTTAGGGCTGGGGAAGGGGCTTGGGACACAGGGTTGGGGTGCGGGCTTACCTCCTGCAACTCCCGGCCAGTGGCGCAGCTGGGGTGCAGAGGCAGGCATAGTGCCTGTCCTGGCACTGCAGACCATGCTGCATCCCGGAAGCGGCCGGCAGGACCGGCTCCTAGACGGAGGCACGCAAGTGGCTCCAAGCAGCTCTCACCTGCAGGCACAACGCCGCCCCCCACCCCCAGCTCCCATTGGCCAGTTCCCAGCCAATGGGAGTTTAGAGCTGGTGCTCAGGGAAGGGGCAGTGTGTAGAGCCACATGGCACCCCCTGCCTACAAGCCAGACCTGCTGCTGGCCACTTCTGGGGCACAGCGCGGTGTCAGAACGGGTCAGGACTACTAGGTTTTACTGGCCAGCTGCCAAGGTCCCTGGGTGCTGAGCAAGGCGACCCAGTACTGGGTTGTGATCCAAACTTTGAAAACCACTGATCTAGTCTAACCTCCGGCCAAGATGCAGGCTTTGTTGTGTCTAAACCAGTGGTTCTCAGACTGTGGGTCGAGACCTCAAAGTGGGTCGTGACCCCTTTTTAATGTGATCACCAGGGCTAGTGTTAGACTTGCTGGGCCTGGGGCTGAAGCCCAAGCCCCACTGCCCGAGGCCAACGCCCAAGGGCTTCAGTCCTGGGCAGCAGGGCTCAGGTTAAAAGCCCCCCACCTAGGGTTGAAGCCCTTGGGCTTTGCCACCCCACCCCTCCACCCCCGCCTGGAGCATCAGGGCTTGAGTGGGCTCAGGTTTCGGTCCCCCCTCCTGGGGTCATGTATTAATTTTTATTTTTTTTGTCAGAAGAGGATCACGGTGCAATAAAGTTTGAGAATCCCTGGTCTAAACCATCCAAGACAGATAGCTATCCAGCCTCATTTTGAAAATCTCCCTCTTAGGGGGACACGTTTAGGTCAAATTTGGCCCCAAATTCTGCTTCTTTAAGTCAAAATCCTTTAAACCAGTTTGAAGAAAGACTGTGACCAACAGAAATATCTCCATTCATTTTTATTAATTCCACTGAATTTTAAAAAAACAAACAAGTAAACATTCCCTTTGGTGTTTACAGCCCACACTGGGCATCATTGTGTCACTGCTTGAGAGCCAAAAAGCAAAATTCTCTATATACACATCATAAATAAAGACAAAGGAACTGACTTCCGTGATTTTCATTGTCCAAATTTAAATGCAAACATTAAAAACAAGTTTTCAGAGTCTGTCATTCTTAATAATCTAAAGTGATATGAGTAGCACAGGAATGGAGAATTAATAATTAAATATATATACACACACATATACACACACACACTATGAATTTTGTTGAGTCCAATCACCCTTGATGAGAGGCAGGATGGTCCAGCAGTTAGAGCAGCAGCCTGGGCACAACACTGGCCCAGATGCACTGCAGTAGTTGTGCCGCTGTAGTGTAGACATAGCCTTAGTGGCTCTGTGCCTCAGTTTCCCCATCTGTAAAGTAGGGATAATGGCACTTCCCTACCTCAGAGTGGTGTTATGAGAATAAATGCATTAAAGACTGTAAGGTGTTTAGATACCACCCTGTAGAGGTACCTTAGATAGATTGATTCTCCTATCTCACTCAGTCATTCCACCTTCTAAATTTTCAATACCATATTTAGTTTGACAGGGGATCATTACATTGCACAGTCACTTCAAATTTCAGATACTCCACTTTTGTGCACTGGACCCTTTTACTATAGCGCTGATGACGCGGGAGCCGAGGAGGAAAGCTTCTAGATCTAAAAAAGAAAAGGAGGACTTGTGGCACCTTAGAGACTAACCAATTTATTTGAGCATAAGCTTTCCTGAGCTACAGCTCACTTCATTGGATGCATCCGATGAAGTGAGCCGTAGCTCACGAAAGCTTATGCTCAAATAAATTGGTTAGTCTCTAAGGTGCCACAAGTCCTCCTTTTCTTTTTGCGAATACAGACTAACACGGCTGCTACTCTGAAACCTTCTAGATCTAGTGGGACTTTTCCGTTTGCCATTTTAAAATCTGTGGATTGGGGGACACGGCTCTGGTGAAATCTAGAGCCTTTTGCAACAGGCCTCTGCAGTACCAGTTTCACATTCTGCATGCCAAGCTTCAGCCCTCCCAGTGCACATCTTCTGGGCCCAGTCCTGCTCCTAGCGAGGCCAATAGCAAAACATCGCTTGGTTTTAACAGGATCAGAACTGAGCCCTTTGAAATGAATGAATGCAAAATCCAGCTGTGCGCTGAACATTATGGCTCAGATCTGAATCACAAAACCAGTGAGGCCATGGCAAATTAGGGTTGCCACACAACCCAGGGGTACTTTCGTTTGCCCAGACGCCTTAACTCCTGTGAGTAGTTCCAAAGCAGTCAGCAGGATTACTTCCCTGAGTAAGGAATATTCATGAAGGAGGAGGGCAGGACCAGGGTTTACATTAGCTCCACAGAGCCCCAGTGATCGCCCCCAAAAGTCCGTGGATCTGCCAGAAACAGAGAGTGTGACGCAAAGGAAGGAGGGAAAGGATGTGGGGGAGACCATCTGAACCGTCAACCACCTCCTGGGAATTAAAACAATGTCTGTGCCAGAAGCAGTGAGGGGGAAGTGAAACCCCAGGTGTGTCCTGGCTTTGTAGAGACCAGGGTGGAAGAAGGGGGTGACTTTCTCTTCTCTTCTCCCTGCCAACACAGATGTCTTCAAATCAGGAGCTCGTGGGGGGATTCCCCCCACTTTTACAGCCTAGTATGATGTGTGTGTGTGTGGGGGGGGGATCATCAAACAGCCTAACAACTCCCCCCTCCCCCTATTTGTTCCATCCCATTTGGCAGCAATGGAGACGAATCTCTTTGGGGACCGAGCCGGGGCTCGCGGGCGCGGGACAGACGCTCCCCCAGCTGAGCAGAGCCTTGATCTCATTGTGTCTTGCGGCTCGCTGCACCGTGACTCCGGAGGCGGCCCCAGTCCACTGGGACGCGCTGCGGGTGTGAACGGGGGCGGGAGCAGAGCCCCGGGCCGGCAGCGGCTGCAGGCAGGTGAGGCGTGGAGCTGTGCAGCCCCCCCCAGTCCCACCTGGCTCCTGAGCCTGGGGGACTTCCCTTCTCCTTCTCGCAGGCCTGGCATCAACTTCTCCCCCCGGGGGGCTCCCTCCTGCCTTTGTCTCCTTGCCTTTGTCTCCTTCTCTCTCTGGGGACCACCAGCTGGGGGAGCAGCCCCGCGGGGGCGCGCCGGGGCTCGGGAACGCGCACTCTCCCTTGCCTCCTATTGCAACGCCAGCCCTTGTGTATCTCCGCACCCCACCCCAGCTCTATTGCTAGCAGCTCCACCTGATCCCCCTCCCCCGCCCCCCTCCCCGGGGCTTCCCAGCTCCTCTGCCGGCTCTGCACATTCCCCCACTGCCGCTCGCCTCGCCCTCCCCTGTCTCCTCCTCTTCTCGAGTGTGGACAGCCCCCCGAGCCAGGCAGATCGGCTGCTCCCTGCCCTTCCAGCTGACTCCAGAGCCGAGGAGCTGCAGACAGGTAGGCAGCGGATCTCTCCCTCCCTGCACCCCTGACCTTGTAGCTGGGCTCAGTCCTCTTCTCTGGGGCGGGGGCAGGGAATGGGCAGATTCTCTCGTTCTTTGGAGGGCCCCCCCCCCGCCCCTCACCCACACACCTTTCCTGCCCATCCCTCCCTCCCCGGCTGGGAATGAATGACTGAGCCGCGGCATAAACCCCTCAACTTCCCGAGGCTGCCCCGACCCCGATCCCTTCCCCCTCTGGGGTTCAGCGCCCCGCATTCACAGCCCCTCTGGAGGGGGCTCCCCATCCCCCCCACACACCTGGGCTGCTCGGGATCCCGCTCCCCCATGCCACTCTCTGCTTTGGTCCAGGTAGCCTTTGCTGATTTCAGTTACAGCTGCTGATACTTGGGAAGGGGGAGGGCGGGGGGAGAGGTGA